CATTACAGGAGTGGGGGAATGTGGAGAGACAGGAAAACTTACTGTTCTTCTCTCTTTCAGCCTGAGAGTAGGTCGTATGGAGTGTTAGCTACTGATCTTACAGCAGAGTAGACTCTGAATATCCAAGATGCAAAGATGAAAGAAGTCAACATGTGGAGGCTGCACTTCTGAAGATGGCTACATTGGGAGGGGAAAGTGTCTTATCAACAGGAAGATGTAATGCCAGGTGTACTTCAAGTTACAGGAACTTATGAAGACTTTCACATAGATTTGTACATAAAAATGCTGGTGTAGGACCCTCTGCTTGCATGTTAAATGTACTTATGACCAGTTTGACTCTGCACTCCTGGCTCCTGACCCGTATGGCATTCTTTAATGGGGGTGAATAGCCTACTAGAATCAAGTCTCAACTTTGGCTGATTGTAGAAGCTAGCATTAGTTAACTCCTGCACTGCAAAACCAACCACTGTGTAGATGTGGCAGTACCTGTATTGCTTTCAGTTAGCTGTTGCTGACAGAACTCTAATGCTGTGGTCTGTTAAGTTGGGGAGAATAATGCAGCTATCTTTTATATGCATAATCTGAAATGAAGTTTGTATTAACAGTTTTCCTGAAGTGTGCATTGCCATGAGAGTGAAGTTGAGGAATGTTGGAAGTGGCTTGTACTTTGGAAAAGAAACTGTCAAGAAGTAGCTGATTAGCATCTTCTGCTTCTACCAGAGATACTTTTGTTTGCCTTTTGCTAGCATGCAAGTATTTATTGCTCTTAATGTCTTTCAGTTCGGCTAAAACATTCACTTTTTGACCAGAAAACATGGTCAATGGCATGTAAGGAGCTCTAAATTCCAAAGAACATAGTCAAAGAAAGATTGGTGTGACTAAGTGCAACAAACAGACTCAAAGCTCTAAAGAAGTATTGGGTGTTTCTTGTGTAGTCTGTATGTGTAGATTGCTTTGGCTAGTAATGTGACATGTTGATTCACTTGGCAAAGTAAGTAAAATAACTATCCTAGTAAACTACACAACATCATTCTGATGCTAGCCATTGATTGGAAGAGGCATCAAACTGGAGAAGTGCACAAAGGTTTGTCCTTTTCAATTTCTGCAGAGGAAAGTCTGTCCCAGAATAAAATGGAAGTCTTCCTGCTAAGACAGAAATTAATAAAATGGATTATTAAAGGATAAGGATCACATTTGGGGGTAATGCTGAACAGAGCTGGCAGAGTTGAGGATCTTAGGGTAGATGAATTTCTAGCTTGTTTCAACAATTCGGTGAGTTGGGGTGACTGAGCATTGTGGTCTCTTCTAATTGAAGAGTCACAAGACACTGGCTGATGCTAGCACTGATGAAAACAATTCATACTGAAGCACTTGTATGATGGTCCAAATACCCCAGTTAAGTGAAGTGTTCAAAGAGCTACCAAAATGGTTAGTGTGTTAAGGCTGAGAGCAAGCTAGCTTTTGGATTAGTCTAAATTGTTTCAGAAAGGAGGGGGAAAATCATTAATGTGTTCAATTCTTTTTTTAATAGTCTGAATTTGAGGCAGAACTGAAATCTGCTGGTGAGAAGCTTATAGTAGTGGATTTCTCTGCCACATGGTGTGGACCGTGCAAAATGATCAAGCCCTTTTTCCATGTAAGTAGCCTTTCTGGTTTTACTGGTGACTATGTTAAAATACATATAAATGTTTTTGTGCTGCTTGATGATAACATGGAGGAGACTTCCTTTTGTCACATGCAATTGCCAGCATTTTCTGGGAGAAGTCACAGAAGTATTTACTTTGAGGCTATCAAGTTAAATATACTGACCTTTGATATAGCTGGGAGCTCAAATGTGATTTAACTTCTGCTGTCCTAATACTTATATGTGTTTTGGGTCTATAGGGACCTAACAGTTGCATTGCCTCAAGAGGTGGGATATCAAGTGGAAACAATGCTTGTCCTTCTGTATGCAGTTATTGTAATCACTCCAGCTGTGTTTAGGTGGCAATGTTACCTCCTGGTAAAGTATGAGATAAGCTGTAGCATCTGTTGGTGATCAGCTGAAGGCTGTAAGACAAGGCCTTTCACCTATGTCTTGTGACATTAGTCTTCTCTGTGAGGAGTATGTTGGAACAAGTTTCAACAGACTCTTCTGGGTATTGGAGTAGAAAATTTTTACTCTGGTCAGTAAAATAGCTGCTTTAAGGTAACAAGGCAAGTTTCACTGAGGGTAAGCAGCACCAGCCTTACAATTTTTATGAATATGTCTTTTAAAAGAAAGCTTTCCTGGAGCACTGTAACTACATGGTTCTTCTTCCATTCTAGAGCTTGTGTGAGAAGTATGGCAATGTGGTGTTCATCGAAATTGATGTGGATGATGCCCAGGTATGGTCCAGGGTAACCTGAGAGAGGACAGCTAATGAGTTCCACACAAGTGACAGTGAAGAACTTTTTAAAATGTCCTTTCAGATACTGAAACAAAATGAGAGATTACTTCAACCTTGAGAAGCAGAGATAGGGGCTTAGCACCTACACTGAAAGGAATGAAGTTTTAGGACACCTGAACAGAACAAACTGTCATGGTTATTGGCACACTTGAAGGCCTATGGCATGTGTTAGATAACTTGGAAACACTGACCCTCTGCTTTGGGAGGGAGTATTAGTCTAAGGCCTTAAGCTGCTTTGATGCAGTCTTCCCTAAAACTAATGGCTCGCAACTGCCTGGCAACCTGTCTGGTCCTCCACTGCTCTTGGCACTGTTTCCTCTTTCATGTCTTGAATAAGTGCAATAAAATGTCTGCTGTATAGCAGTTCTAGCAATGTCGAATAGGTACTCGAACAATGTTGTGTTGAAACACAAGAGTTGCTGTAGGGCTCTTGAGCCTTGCAAACAGTCATCTCTGTCTTGATGCAGAGGTCTTTTTTTTTCCCAAACACAGAGTACAGGTATAGTAAATACGGTTTTGCTATTGCATGAATTAAATGCTGAAGGGAGGATCTTTCAGGCTTACTTCAGGGAGATGTTAACACTGCACAGAAGTGCTTTTGCTTCATTTTGAATAGTAATGGCTTTGCCCTATCACCTAAACAAAAGGCAGCTAGTGGTTTGAAATTAACATCCTTCACACATGCACAGCTAAAGATTGTTTTCTGTCTCTTCCAGGATGTTGCCGCACACTGCGATGTGAAGTGCATGCCAACATTCCAGTTCTACAAGAATGGAAAGAAGGTAGGCTCTACTCTTTTGGAACTGGCAAGCTAAACACTTGAAGGAAGATTGGGAATGTTAGACAACACAGCCTGCTTTCTCTTGATAATGTGTCTGGGGCACCACTGGGATTAAGACACTCCCAAGAGCAAGAAAGTTCATCTTAGTGCCGCAGCAAATGTAACATGGACCAGCAGTTAACTGAGGGAGCAAACCCTGTTGTTCAGTTAGTGAACTGAGTTAGTGTTACAGGTCAGTCTTGCAGGCAGAGCTTTGTGAGACATTAGTGGGGTTAGATGCCTGGGTTAAGACTGCTAGTCTGTCTGCCTAGCACCCTGCCTTTTACTGATTTTGGTTAATATTTGTTCTCTGGATGTAGCTCATGCTCAAGCAGAGACATGACTGTATGTCCCTATGGAATCCCACCCAAACAGGAGTCTCTAACATGTGGTTAAATATACATACAGCTGAAACAACTGCTTGGATGCTTTTACATAGAGGCTGTGTAACCTTGTGAAGTGTAGGTCCTGTCCCTGTGAGAGGACTGAACAGACCTCCTGTGCCTGCTCTGCCAAGAGGTGGATGAGATGGGATGCAGAAAATGCTCTTACAGCATGGTGGGCTGCCTGTGCAGGATAGTTGTGAATGGCTATCTGCCTGAACTAAAGAATTGCTGAGCTAAATGTGTTCTCTCGGGCTTTTAGTTTGCCAAGCAAGCTGAAGATAGGCTTTTCTAAAGAAAAACAATGCCTGGATGGAAGTTTCATGGCTGAAGACAATGGAATTGTGCCTGAAAAGCAAGTGTCAGATGTTGGGTGATCTTCAGTTCAAATCAGTATGGGGCCAAATCATGACTAATTATGAACCTTTGATAGTTTTCTCAGGGTAAAAACTTCCACAGCTTCATAATGTAATTGGAAGAATTGTGATTAAGATGTGACAGTGTGTGAAGGTGATGTGCTTAACGCTGTTGTGCAGCTTTTTATTTTGGGTGACCTTGGCAGTTCTCTGGACACATCAGGCAAGCAGTTTCATGGACTGTAGTGTAGCCTGCTCTGTACCTTGCACCCCTGTAGGTACTGGAAGACAGAGCCATGGTTTTTGAGACATGAATGTTGCCCTTGCCTTTCTGCTGTGTGAGTTGCAACAAGGACAATTCTCACAGGAGAAAGAAGGCTCAGGGACAGGTCATTTGGAGTAATCCTTCCAGAATTTGATTGGTAAGGGTCCTGAGCAATCCAGAGTAACTTTGAGCTACTTCTGCTGTGCAGTGACCTCCAGAGTCTCCTCAAGCCTGTATTTGAGTCTTACACAGGATTGGTTCAGGATGGGTCTTTTCCCTTGTTTTATGTGTAGAAGGCTCCAGCAGTGGTAGTCTGGAAGTGATTCTTGATTGACTCTTGTCCCAATTTTTGCATGAGTGGAGTAGGAGATGAATAGACAAACATCTGCAAAATACTCCTTGTTTTGGGGTGAAAATTCAGTTGTAGCAGAATTGAATAGGTGCATATGTGTCTGGATGCTGTGCAACTAATGTTATGAAGCATTGAATGCAACAGTTCTAAAAATCAATCTCTCTTTACAGGTGCAGGAGTTCTCTGGGGCCAATAAGGAGAAGCTGGAAGAGACCATTAAAAGTCTAGTCTAATCTCCAGCCATGGAGACATTGAAGCATGACTGCTTAGGCTGAATTACAGCCTGTAACTTTTCTACTTAAAATTAAAAAAGCCAGCTAGGTTAAATGGCAGAAACAATCTTCTTGATCTATGTAAATGAGTCCAATAAAGTGTAAATTCTTCACTTTTGGATATTGCCCTGTGTTTGAAAATGTGAGGAAGTTTGTAATGTCATCAAGGTGTCAGTTTTTGCTGTGTTCAAGGACTACTGTCTGGATACAAGGACTCTTGCCAAATGCAGACTGATCTATTACTGGGTTATTGCTGGGGCTGGAAAATTACATTGCATGGGACAGCAATGAGAGTTGCTTTAGTCTGCTGCCACCTTACTCAGGTGGTAGTCATCATGCTATAATCTGAAGGGTGGCAGTCAGCCTTGCAGATACAGAAAGTAGAGCTTAGGAGTTGTAGAAAAGAGGGTCCTCACTGGGTGGGATAGATTCTTTCTTTTTTTACCTCTTTTTAACTAAAGATTCTTTTAAAATATGTCAAGCTTCATTTTAGACTTCAAAGCTAAGACTTGACTCTGTATTAAACATAAGAACATAATACCAGTCCTACCACAGAAGTGTAAGGTAGGACTTGAAGCTGCTGTGTTTTTGCCTTTCACTTTTGCCTTGCCATTGGCACACCTTCTGGTTCTGTTAGTGAGGTATGTTTAGTCTCTGAGTTGGGCTGCTTTGTTCTAGGCAATAGTCTGGAGCAAATGACTGAAGAGGTAAAACTTGTAGTGTCTTAGGCCCAAGGTAATTTAGACTTATGTATTGTCATCTTCATTTGTCTGTACTGTTGCATTCTTAGAACATACTGGACACTTCAAGCTGGACAGTGAACTGGACTCTGCAGTCCTCCAGACCTGCATTGGATTGTTTAGATGAGTGCTGGCCTGCCAGCTTCTGTATACCATTCAACTACTCTTCCCAGAGTTACCAAGGAGAGTTGCTGTGGTGTTCTGCGTCAGTGGCTTTCTTGCTGGCTTGGGTGTTGTCCCGGATAAGAATTCAGTAAATAAGGGAGTAGGGCTGTAGCTAGCAGCTATGCCTAATGCTGTGGTCAGGGCTGGGTGAGCTGGGCTGCTCATGGAGTATCACTGATGACAAAGCAAGACTTCCTGCTAGATACACAGACAGGGTGGAGTGAGCTGCTTGGCTTCGTGGTAGGGAGCTCATGTGTGACTTGGCCTTACACTCATGTCAGAAGCATGCATTTCCTGGCTCTTGAGGACTGGGGGCCTTCAACAGCTTGCTGCATATGTTCCCTATTTGAAACAAGATTTTTCTAGTCCAGGAAGTGACCATGCCCTTTAGCTGAGGATGAGCCATCAAGGATCTTCTTAGATGTAAGCTCTGCATTGTGATTATGTGATGAGAAGGACATGCAAAATGTTTTCTGTGCAGCTCTGGCTATTTGACTAAGAGGAGTGCAGCTGTGCATTTAAAAGACTGCTCACACAGGTAAGTGGGAAACCACTACCCCAAGAGGTGTCATGGACAGACTTGCAGGAGGAGACTAAAACGAAGATGGAGCATGAGTGCACCACTAACATCACAACATCTGTGAAAAAGCATTGCTTTTAAAAGCAGTTCCTGGATGGCCTGCTTATTCCTTCTGGGCAGTAGGTGGGAGCAAGAAAGGTTTTAAAAACACCTGGTGAAAATTCCAGGTGAAGTTCAGTAGGAGCCCCTAAAGTCCAGCCTCACCTTTAAGAAGTAAGGAAGCTACTAAGATGTGCTGCAACATACAGTATTTCTGCTGAGGTGAGGCCAGACTGGGTTGTTGCCTGTTGCAGCAGGGGAAGGGTGCACTTGATGGGAAATGCTGCTTGTGTGCTGAGTTTGATGTAAAGCTTTGTTTACTCCCTTAGTAAGATGGCACTCCACAATAGCCTTGAAAGATCCAGATGACAAAGAAACAACTGCAAATTCAAGATGGGACTGGGAAAGATCAGAAAGGCTGGAAGAACACTTATGCCGAAACCCAGGGTGCAAAGCAGTCCTTGCAAGTGCAATGAGTCTTCAGTTTCCTGTGCTGCAGTATCTTCCTGTTTTGAGAACTGGCATGTTGGCATAGTGTGATGAAAATAACTTGCATAGCCTTATTTGAAATGAGGTGCTCTTTAAGGCTTGGCTCTTTGAGGAATATGCAGTGAGGATCTGCATGCTAGGTAAACTTTCCCTTTAAAGGAACTGGCAACCATATTCTCTTCAAATGCATAGTTATGCCAGACTGAGTATTTTAAGTTGGTCCTTGTTAGAGGTGATGGAAAGCACAGCCTAATGGTTATACCTAACTGAGATGCAAGGAGTCTCAGGTCCTGTAGCAATGGTGCCCCACCTGGGAGGTGGGTACCCCAGTTCAGGATGGGAGCTGGACCGAGTCTTCCAACAGGCAAGAACACAGGGCTTCAGCCTTTAGCAAAGACTAGATATAGCAAGTAAACATTTTGCCCTAAATGGAACGGGTAAAAGTAGCCTTGCTAAAAACTTGGGCTGTAGGCCCTGCCACATGGCTATTAAGTGATACCCTGGAGAGTTCACTGGCTGCACTTCTTGGTTGCTTGTGCCTCCTGTGAAGGAGTGAGACTGGTATTACTGTATGGCAGGTGGTAATGTTGCAGGTCACTCTTTCATCAAACTCTGATCTGCTGTTTGCATGAACAGAACTGACTGCCTTGATCTGGTGATCTGAAAAGATGCCTTTAAGAGGGAAGTGGTAGGTGGCCAACTGACTTGGATATTTGGAAGAAACTTGATGTACATGGCAGGGAAGAAACACCATATAAAGGTTTCTTCTGGGAGCAAGGGCTTCAGGAAGAAGTTCTCCCCCTGGGTAATGAGTGCCATCTGTTTCATTTGGCTATGAAATGGCTGGGATCTGTGCCTTGCTGTCAGACCAGTAGAGCAAGACATTTTTGTCTGCAGGCCTGTTACATAGCTTGCTTTCTTACAGTGGGCTGGCCAACAAGAAGAGAAGTACTCCTTAAGCACAGCAATTGGAACATGTGGCTGGAATAACTGCTCAATGAGAGAGGACTAAGTATCATGAAAGGGAGGGCCAAGGGGTGACAGTGAGTGGACAAGGGAACTGTGTGATTAGATGGCAGCGAAATACTGATGCTCCTTAACTCTGTTCATGTGTTCTGAAACTACCATCATGCACTTGGGGAAGGATTCTCTTAACCACCTGCACATGTCTTCCCATCTTCTCTTGCAGCAGTCAGCCTGACTTCAGGTAACCATCTGCTTTTCATTCTTCCCTTGACCTGAATGAAGTTAGGCTTGGATTTTTTCACCCCAAATGATGCCAATAAGAGTATTTGTAATTATTCTAATGTTTAAATTCTTACTGTTCATTCATCAAAACCAGCTGGATCCAGCAAGGACAAAAACCAACTTCTGTTGTTCTACCAATGCCAATACTGTGGTGTAGCAGCTCCTCTGTGCTGTGCTCTATGGCATGCAACTTTCAGCCACCCGAGGAATTGGCTTGAGGAGGATGCTGGTGAAATCCTTGCCAGACTAACTCTTGCAGTGGTGGTCCCTGACCCTTGGTGAGGGGTGGGAGAGACTGACTGGTGAGTTGACCCTGGCTGGCTGCCAGGTGCCCACCAAGCTGCTCTTGTCACTCCCCTCCTCAACTGGATGGGTGGGGGAAAAATGACAGAAAAGCTTGTGGCTTGGTAAGGACCGGGAGATGACTCAGCAATTAGTCACAGGCAAAACAGACTCAACTTGAGGAAATTAATTTCTCACAATTAAACAGAACAGGATAATAAGAAAAAAACCCAACCAATCTGTAAATGGCTTCCCCTACCTCTCCCTTCTTTCCAGGCTCAGTTTCACTCCTGACTCTTCCACCTCCCCACCCATGGGCAATGCAGGGGGATGGGGGTTGTGGTCAGTTCATAACATGTCATCTGCTGCTCCCTCCTCAGGCTCTTCCCCTGCTCCAGTGTGGGGTTGATGGGATACAGTCCTTCAGGAATGCACTGTTCCAGCACGGTTTCCACATGGCCCACAGGTCCTGCCAGCAAACCTGCTTCAGTGTGGGCTCTTCACAGGCCAGAAGTCCTGCCAGGAACAAATTCCTCTGTGGGCTGTCCATGGTCTGCAGCTTCCTTTGGGTGCATCCCCCTGCTCCAGCGTGGGTCCCCCACGGGGCCACAACTCCTGCCAGCAAACCCGCTCCAGCGTGGGCTCCTCTCCCCACGGGCCCACAGGCCCTGCCAGGAGCCTGCTCCAGCGTGGGCTTCCCACGGGGTCACAGCCTCCTTGGGGCATGTCCCCCTGCTCCGGTGTGGGGCCCTCCCCGGGTGCAGGTGGATCTCTGCTCCCCTGTGGGCCTCCATGGTTGCAGGGGCACAGCTGCCTCAGCAGGGGCTGCACCAGGGGCTGCAGGGGAATCTCTGCTCCGTGCCTGGAGCACCTCCTGCCCTCCTCCTGCACTGACCTTGGTGTCTGCAGAATTGTTTCTCTCACATGTTCTCACTCCTATCTCCCAGCTGCTGCTGCACAGGTTGTTTTTTTTTTTTGTTGGTATGTGTTTGGGTTGGGTTTTTTTAAACTCTTTCTCAAGTATGTTATCACAGAGGGCTCATTGTTGGCCAGGGCTGGGTCCCTCTTGGAGCTGGCTGTCACTGGCTCTGTCTGATGTGGTGGGCAGCTTCTGTGTCTTCAAACCTTTCCATGTAAACCTAATAACATTGACATGCTGACAACAGGCAGTGCAGGGCTGAGAGGGCACCAGGCTTAGCAGGGGCCTGGCTATGGCATGGATTCTCTGCTCTTCATCTGAAGCAATAACTGTATACCAACTCTACCCCAGCTGCTGAAACCTTTATCTGTAGGTCTTCCTCAGTTAGAAGACCAAGCACAAAACTATGGCTGGAAGAAGAGCCTGATGATCTTAGAGGTCCTTTTCAATCTCAGTGATTCTTAGTTTTTACTTTCATTATAAATAATCCAGCTACCAAGCCAGGAAACATGAACTTGCTACTCTACCCTTAATTGGTTTAGTGGTGGACTTGGTAATGTTAGGTTAATGGTTGGGCTGGATGATCTTAAAGGTCTTTTCCAACCTAAATGATTCTGTGATTCTATAAGGAGCTCTGGGGAGGCAGTGGGCACTGT